TTCTTCTTCTACTACTTCTTCTTGACTCTCATAATAATAGTACTATTTTACTACATGGCTAAAAAAAGCACAAATACTGCCATTACTACTGATAGGGCCATCGTTAAATTAAGTCAGAGACCAAAATGTAGTATAATTCGAAATTATTATTTTAAGACTTTATAACATAATACATAGCTACTGATTAATAATAGCTGAGATGCACATTTCAGAATTAATAATCGTTTTTAGTATATCTTACTGAATATTTATTGTCTACAAAATAAAATATGAATTACATGCATCTTTAGAAATACAATTTCTACAATATTATTCTTGTTTTAATGTAGATAAATGTTCGATAAATTCTTTCTTTCATAAAAAAAAAAAAAAAAAAACGAAATTTAGCGCGTCTATTTTCATAATTAGGCTACAGGTATTCTATTCCATTTGGTGGGTTCTTTAGTTGTTCAGCAGGAAATCCATTGGCATTGCCAGGTAGCAACACGTATGTATAAGACCTGTCTCTTATACACATCTAGATGTGTATAAGAACAAAAGCCTAGGCCTAGTAGGCCTACCTGTAGTACGTTCTACTGTACTTAGGCCTAGGCCTACACTTTGTTGTCGTCGGGGTATAATTCTGTATCTAAATAAACAAGGAGCGAACCTAGCTAGTCAAGATCTAGGCTAGGCTAATTGATTTTAAAATCAATAACCCACCAGGACTATCTGTCGTTTTCTTCTTTGCAACAGCGGACGAAAAAAGTCAGTTATTCTACAACGTTTCATGATCTTTATCACTAAACATTTAACAAACACTCGACGCACTCCGTTCTGTAGTGTGTCTGCTGTTGAAAACAAACTTCCTAGCCTAATTTTGTGACTGGCTATGATGACTGAGATGGACTATGTTGATTTATTAATAATATTTTGTTGTTTGGGATGAAAAAAAAAGGAGAGTCCAGTATGGCTATGGAATTTACTAACCACACAATCCACATTTAGGTGATTAGGTCGCAAAACTTTATTTGCATTTGGTGGATTAAGTCGCAAAACTTTAGTTCGTTTGGTGGCACCATTTACTCTAGGTAGACGGCGACCGGTTTCGTTACCGGTTGGTACATTTCTTACAAACATTCAGCCAAAGGCCAGTGAAAGTTGAGACGGCAGCCGTGTTTTTATCGATATTTGCCATCCTTATGTGTGCCATCGTAAAGGAATTGCGTTTTAATTTAAATCTCCGAACTTCTGGAAGCTGACATATTCTATGAATGTAGGCTTGTAATGCAGGCTACAATTTAAAAACGGGTGGAACTCATTCAAAAATTCGAGGGGGTTCGCTAGAAAAGGGGGGTTCGCCCGAACCATAAAAACCCCCCCTGGCTACGGGCCTGTGGCTGGTTTACTCATCTTAAACCAAGGAGGTATTAAATAATATTATTTAATACCTCCTTGCTTAAACTAATTCCTCCATGGCATCTAACTTGAATGAGCCTTTGTGTGGTATTGTTATGCTAATGAGCCTGAGCCAGATAAGCACAATCTGCACATGCTCAGATGTGTCTAATGCGTACATGAAACTCCACTCGGGCCGTCTCGGCTGAATCGACCCGAAAATCTCATTGCAGAATTCAGGAGGTCAACAGGTCATCAACAGATAAACGTCTACAGAACAACTTCTGAGAGAACGTCGCTGTCTAATTTTTAAAAATACACTGATGTTACCATGTTAATACCAATGGGTCGTTAGTTAGTAGTTAGGCCTGGGTTTTGCATAATTACCTAGGCCTACAAGTAGGCCTACTAAAAACGCTTCTGGGAAAAACACAAAGCGTAAGGAAAAGCGCGTTTTTCTTCATCACTGATCAAATGAAACAGAATGACAGTTATTTTCAAAGAGAGAAGAGCTGAGAATAGGCAGCTCTAAAATACTGGATGCCATAAGACCTGCCAAAATGGCAGCTGAGCACCAAATGAATGTAAAAATGAGCTAGTTATTAATATTTGGCATAGTAATCGGCAGGTTCTTGATTACAAGGCTAGACCAAGTAATTACATGTAATGCCGAAATGATGATAATAATAATAATAATTATTATTATTATTATTATTATTATTATTATTACCTGTACGTTAAGGGGAACTTAGACAAAGGGGAAATAACACAAAAGATATTCCCCTTGGGCTAGTTATTATAGGCCTAGTAAAGTATCTGTAGGTTCTTCATTACAAGCCTTAGGCCAAGGTAATTAATGCTGAAATGATTATTATTATTAATTATTATTATTACCTGTACCTTAAGGGGAACTTAGACAATGGGGGAATTAGAGAACAATTAAAAAACGACGTTAAGGGGAAATAACACAAAAGATATTCCCCTTGGGCGATTATTATTTATAGGCCTAAATAGTACAGTATCTGTAGGTTCTTCGTTACAAGGCTTAGGCCAATATGATGCTGAAATTATTATTATTATTATTATTATTCAATAATTACACAATGATAGTTTGGACAAGTTCAATAGCGTCGGAATGGTATATTATTTATTTAATATTTCTTTTATGCGCTCTATTTTTCATTTCATGCTTCAATTTTGTCCCATTTCCCCCAAATTTCCCTTTTCCCCCCCCCCCCAAAAAAAAACTTCAGTCCATGTCAGTATGTGAAGCGTGACTGTTGTGTCAGCCTATGACCCTAGGCCTAGTTTAAGGGGGCCTAGGTAAGACCTGAGCCTGTAGTTATAGGCCTATAGTTTATCATCTTTCTCTCTAGCCTTTGGTATAATGTACCAGGAGGTACTGTTGTTGTAGATAATATACTAACATTTAATAACATCCAAGAAGGTCACAGTTAGTTACACAGTGACGTACATCACATAAGTCCGTGAATTTTTCATAGGCCTACCGTACCCAGGTAACAAGCCCATAAGGGACCCATATGGTGCCCATATGCAGATCTATATGGGTACCATATGTGCAATCCTTGAGGAAACCTCCGGATTCTGCACCCAAGTTCCATGTGGGACCCATATG